AGGTTGAATGAAAAAAAAAATATCTGTGCTGTGTGAACCTGATCCGCCCGTCTCACCAACGTACTGTGATCTGCAACGCTCACATGTGATCAGATACACAGTTTTTGGATCTTGGGTTGCCCGTTTTTTTTCTGTTGCAAATACCTTTATAAGTTTGTTTTGTACTCATTTTATTTGGTGGAAAAATTCCTGGTCACCTCTGATCTTCTGGGCAGTTAGGGGGTTTAATTTTGCATGGATTAGATGGTCTTTCAAGTTAAATTTTCTTTGTAGGTCGCAATAATCCTGTAATTTGTTAGTTTTTGCCTTTCTTTCTGAAATTTCTCTAAGGTGGGTTTTACATTTCTGGCTAATTGTATTGCAGAAATGAAAAATAATAATTGTCACATAATGTAAAATGGGGGTCACCACAGATGGTCTGGTTTGATGGAAGGTTTTCAAACACTTTCTCAGGAAAGACCTTGAGTCCCATCTTCTGGACAAAGCTGAAAACAACACCTTGGTAGAGTCAAAAAAATGTTCATTACAAAAACAACTGGACTTAATTTGTAACAGAAGATGTTTCGCTCCTCATCCGAGGAACTTTCTCAATTCAGAGAGCAGTGAGTGTGGGGTTCAGGTTATAAGGCTGAGATAAGTTACACATACATATGCAAATTGACAAATCACACCTCACACCTTAACAGTAGGGGCTTCTTAAGATGTTTGTCACTTTAATTCACAGATGAGGACCCTCTGTTCCCAGCAGGTGTGAAAACTGGCTGGGAATCAGTCTTAAAGTTGCATTATATTATGAGGAGCAAAACATCTTCTGTTACAAATAAAGTCCAGTTGTTTTTGTATTGAACATTTTTTGAATTTATCATGTCCTGGATGACTGAGAATCTTCACCAGCATAGCACCTTGGTAGTAACTTGAAAGTCAGATTGTTGTGTACAAATTCTGTGGAATCTCAACATATGTGATTTTATTGATCCTGCATAATGTATGCTTTGGGTGGTGGTGGTTAGGGTTAGGATAGATTCACTAAAACCTTTCTAGTGGTTCATTGTTTTTTTTTGCTAGCAAACAGAGTTATTCCAACAATTAATGCCAAAGTTTTAAGTAAATATGTTGCGTAATGTGAAGAGCTCAAAGTATATTTTGAGAACTGGGAGGAGACCAAGGGGAAACGCCTTGGAATCCTCCCAGAAGAGCTGGAAGAGGTGGCTGTGGAAAGAGATGTCTGAGCCTCCCTGTTCAAGCTGCTGCCCCCGCGACCCGACTTTGGAATGAATGGAAGAAAATGGATGGATGGACTACGGTTCTACCACACCAACTTTTAGCTTAGTAGCTTTTAAACTGACTGAGTACTAGTCGTGTTTGTGTTTTTGAGGTCAGTTTGCTGTGGTGGCCATCTTGAATTGGATCTGTTGTTGACTAAGGGATTTTTTTCCATGAGCTTCATTAAAGATTATTGTTAGTTTTTGAGATGTATTGCTAACGTAAAGAAGAAACGCACACACATACACAGACATGGGCAAAAATATGAATGTTTCTGGCCTTCAGCTGAGGGTAATAATAGACGTCTGGTAAACAGACTTTAATCTCTAAAAAAAAATTATGGCTTAGTCTGGTTTGGATGGATCCATCCATCCATCCATCCATCCATCCATCCATCCATCCATCCATCCAGGCAGGCAGACAGCCAACTGGCCTGAGCCTCATTTCACTCATTTAGATCCAGCATTTTGTTGTTTTGGTCAGGAGTCTTGTCCATGTGGATTATTTAATTCACTTCAGTTTATTTATATAGAACAAAGTCAGAACAGAAGTTGTCTCGGGGCACTGTACAAAAACATTGACATACATTATAAAAGCCAATCAATAAAAGTTATCTACATAAGGAAGCCAGCAGACGCACTGAATTTTCACCTTGTCACAATCTCCCATACTGAGCAAGCACAATGGTAACAGTGGGAAGGAAAAACTCCCTTTTAGCAGGAAGAAACCTCCAGCAGAACCATTTTGAATTTACATTAATTATAGCTTATTAGGGGTAGAAATGAAAAAGACACATATAGATATAGCGATTTAAATATTTATTTTTATTACATTAAATTTTAGAACAAAGCCTCCTTAATGTTATGACCTGAATGATAAACATCGGAGTCGATTTAAAAATTTCCAATCAGTCAGCAAACATTGTTTATACAAATACAAAACTGCTGAGTTTGATGAGATTTGTACATTTGACTTTAACAATGACCAGCAGGTGTTTATGTGGGCCGTGTTTTTTTTTAAATCTTTGTCAAGTGTCCATTTTAATTTGTCTTGTTCTCTTTCACTCCTTCTGTTCCTAATTAATTTTTTCTTCATTGTAAATTTACTTTTAGTTTGTGTTTGCTTATTTTTTGTATCCATTCGGCTTTGCATTGTTTCTCTTAATTCTGCATTTCTTTAATGTTTCATCTTCTCATTGGCGTTTCTAATATTGGTTTAAAGGTTATTGTTTCAAATCAACTCAGTTGCCAATCTGAAACTATTATTTTACTTTTTTAGAAACCACAATCATTTCTATGTTCTTTGTGTTGATCATTTATTTATTACATTTGATGCCTCCAGTATTTCATAAATCTCCTATGAAAGATCTGAAAGTATTTTTTAAGTTTTCTTTCTCCTTTCCAAAAATTAAAATCAAAGTTAGTGAATATGGTTTCTTGAAATATAAAAGAACAACTTCCTTTTGCCCTTTGTTGGACTTGTTCTAACCCACAAAGATAAAACTTGATTTTATTTTAACTTTTTTTTTCTGTCCTGTGTTTGGTTCCTCTTCCAACACAGTTGCAACACAAAATATATTTTCTACCTCTGCCTTACTAAAAATAGATAAAAACAAGATTGTGCAATACAGAACAGTACTTAAGACTCCCCGTCTTCCTGTTTGTTCACAGTTTCTGGGTAAAATCTACCCAAAATAAAGATGTGCCCTTCTGAGCAGTGAGGATCCAGCAGAGATGAACTGGGACAGATCAGGTCCTGTTGGGCCGCCACATATTTCATCTGCCAGCAGCATCTCTGATCACATCCCTGTTTCCTGATCAAGCATTTCAACTTCAACTTTTCAGTAACGCAGCAAGTCATTTTTCCCATATTGTGCTCTGTCAGCACCTTGGCAGCATGACGGCTCAGTGGTTATTACTGTTGCCTCACAGCAAGAAGGTCCTGGGTTCAATCCCCAGTTGGACCTGGGGTCTTTCTGTGTGGAGTTTGCATGTTCTTCTCATGCTTGCGTGGGTTTTCTCTGGGTACTCCGGTTTCCTCCCACAGATCAAAAACATGCATGTTGGGCTGCCTTCAGCCCCAGGCCTCCTTGCAAAAGAGATCTGTGATCTCAGTGGGATTTGTCTGGTTAAGTAAAGATTAATGTAGTGAGTCACGTGAGGTACGTGTCACTTGTTGTATGACAAATATATGGATATATATTTATGCATACTTTTCACGAGTTCTTCATTTTTCTGACTGTGTAATGCCGTGCATTGAATTTAAAGGAATGCGAACAAGAGACGTTATTACCTTTGACCCATCAAATGAATGGAATCATTTATTTTCAGAATCAAAGTTTAACATCAAACATTTACATTAATTTGGCAAAATATGAAAATAATAACAGACAGTTTCACAAATAATGAACTTCAAATCACTCGGCGGTGATTTGAGGACTTTGCTTCAGATATTTCTAAAAATATCTGCACTGATTTATGAGAGAGAGGTGAGTTTAAGAGTAAATTGAGATTTATCTTACAGAGGAAATATGTGAGGGAAATTTAATCTGTTTAACCAGAAATTGCACGCTCCGTCCGATCTCAGCTTCTCACGGTACACTTGGTCAAAATAGAACCATCTACCTGTTGATGATGAATCAGCGTCGGAGTAGTTCCTTTCTGACTCGTTTCAGCGTCTCCGTCGAGAACTACCAAACCTTCAGAGAGTCGTGCGTAGTTAGCTCAAAACAGAATTATAATCCCAAAAACCTCTGGATTCTTCATTGCTCTCTTGGACTCTTCATTGCTCTGAAACTTTCAGAACCGGCTGCACTCTCAATCTTGGAACTCTCACATTCTCCAGAACTCTCTCAGAACCGGGAAGTTTTCACATTTTAAATGAGTTTACTTCCGGGTTTACTTAGAGCTTTCTGATTCGTGGATGGACCAGAAAGAGGAGTGGTTTTGACGTAAGGTGTTTATCAACAGTCGAGGTCAGAGAATGAAATCTGTTTTCACGTACAGAGAGATTATTGCAGAAGCAGCAGACTTCGTGGAGTCAACTCTTGGTAATCTTCTGAAAAAGTTTAAACATGACATTTCTTCTTCAGTAAACATTTAGCTGACCGAAGCCTCAACTTTCACACACTTACGACTTGACTCATTTCAGACAGAAAATCAAGGAATGCTTATTCAGGTGATTTCTTCTTGGAATGAGGAATAAAAATCATTACTTACTGTTTATGTAAAATAAAGATGAGTAGTTCTTTTCAACCTATAAGCATTGAGTGAAACTACCACAATTGATTATTAAAACATTTGTAAAACAGTAATGATTATAGAGGATTGTCTTTTCTGCTTGATTAATTCAAGAAAGAAAGTCATCAGATGGCCCAGACTAATTCAGATCAATGAAACTAACAGTCTCTGTCCATCTGGTAGATTTGAGGTCATCTGGTTCACTACATTAATAATAAACAAATAAATGTCAGTATCTAGAAAGAAAATTAATGAAGTCTAATCAGATAAGATGAGCCTAACAAAAGCTAATTTGCTTTACTCTCTGTCTTTTCCTGTTAATCTGGAATCATGACAGATTAACAGAGGCTTGGAGGGATTAACCTGTCTAAATAAAGGTTGAATGAATGAAAAAGATCAATCATTTGTACTGAATGATTTCTTTTCCGTCTGAAATCCAAATAAAAATCAGTAATTTAGTCTTAAAGGGTTTATTTTTTGTACCGGTGTATATAGGCCTACTCGAGCAGCTACATGACAAGTTCAACCTCTCTAGCCCTGCATATGTTGCTGCTACATCTTATGATACATTGCTATAAAAATAACACTCTTTTTTCCTCTATAGCTTAATACTGCAGGGATAATTGCACAGTTCACAAGAAGGGAAAGGAAACACGGTTCGTCAGACTAATCAGGCAGAATCAGATGCTACACATATTTGATGTTGTGGTTCTCCTCTGGCTCGCTCCACTGCTCCATCTCCAAACCCAAAGTGCTGTGACGGATCATCTTCCAGCTGGCCCGCGCCGCCTGGATCCTGCTTTCACTGGTTTTAGATCGAAGGAACGGGGATTCCTTCGACGGGTCGGGCTTCTGTCCCTCTTTCTCCTTCTCGTCCTCCTTGGAGAAAACTTTGACGTAGCGGCGAACCTTTTGCTTCATGGAGTCGTTTCTGTCCTCAACCCTGAAGCCAAGAACATGAGCAGTTAAAGCAAATGTACCTCATCAGTTTTATTTCAAATTCAACCCAAGGTGGAAAAACACAAATAAGATACTGATTAGAAATATAAAAACTGCACAATAAATGTACACATTTTCATTTAAATGCAGCTTTTTTTCCTGGTTGCAGGTACAAAGATTATAAAAACTGATTCTTCCACTCATTAAAGGGCAGAAACTGGAACCGTTTAAAGCCGGTGTCAGCTCGTGAAGATGATTATTGTTTTCTTACAGTGAGGGGGTCTGCAAATAAATAGGGGTGGTCATTGCCCCCCTAAGGCCTCCTTTTGGAAGACCCTCTTGCAATACTAAAATACTGCACCAGAACCGGTAGCAAATCATATGATCTTGTTTAGGCCTGAAAATGTTACCTCTGTAGTTAACATTTAGAGTTATTAAAACATAAGATATTTTCTCAGACCACTTCAGTCCATGTTAAACGGCTCTATAAGGTGGTGGCGTGCAGCTCCCACAGTGATAACTAATTTAGAGCATTTTTAAAATTCCTAATGAGATGTTATTTTTCTTTTCATTTATTTGCAGGATTATTTAATGTGCTAATGCTGAGAGGTAAGACAGGGTCCATTTGTATGTTAAGCTGAGCACAGATCTGGACTTTTTGGTGTTTAGCAGCTTGTATGAAGTAAATTGCACACATGATCTGAGCTGAAGTGCTCCTGGCCTGACAGTGTTTTCATACCTGAGATACCAACGCTCCTTCAGGCCAAAGTCAAGCCCACACAATCCGAGCCGAGGCCACAAACAGCGGGGAAGCCTCCTCTCCAGCATTAAAATTGTGGCCACAACCTGCACAACAACATCTCAGCTGTAACCGTGACGCAGCAGAGCTCAGTTCAAGTCAAAGCAATGATTACCATATGTTCATTCAACTTTATTTATACCGGCTGGTCTCATTGAGCCACAAGGACTCATTTATAAGAGGGGCATGTTCCAGACAGAACATATAAAGTACATACAACAATAACAATAAACAATAACAACAATAAACTACAGTAAAAATGCAGTTAAAATAAGAGTAGTCTACAAAACAATGAATCAGGGTGCCATAAAACAGGGTGAAATACTAAAAACAAGAACATATCTGCCTTAATTCTTTCATTGACATTATCCAAATGTTTAAAACCCCTTGAAGAATTTAAAGTGGACAACTTCATTTCCTGTTGCAAAGTGTTCCAGGTTGCAGGAGCAGAGTAGAAAAAGGCCTTTTTGCCAAGTTCAGTCCACACTGAGGGAACGCTGCAGGTAATGATGGTCTGAGAGCGCATGCTGTAACTGCACTGACGGTGGGACATGTGGGTGGAGATATAAGAAGGTAGCAGACCAAGGAGTGATTTATAGATGAAAATGAGCCAGTGTGAGAGCCTACATGTAGGTAATGATGACCAGCTGACGAAGGAGTACAGGGTGCAGTGATGGGTACAGTAGGTACAACCCGTTATGAATCTTAGCGTGCCATGGTAGACAGCATCCAACATCTGCAAGGAGCTGGCAGAGGCATTCATGTAAATAATGTCACCATAGTCAATGGTTGGTAGGAAGGTAGCGGTTACAAGGCGTTTTCTGCATTCAGAGTTAAGCAAGATCTATTTCTGAAAAAGAAACCCAGTTTTAATTTCAGTTACTTTATCAAGTTTTCGATATGTGGTTTAAAAGAGAGATGTGCATCAACTAAAATTCCCAAGTATTTATAAGAATCTACAAACTCAATAGGAACACCATGCATGGATGAGATAGGAGGAAGAGTTGCTGGCACCGACTTTCAGTTGCAAAACAAAATCTTTGGTTTTGTCAGCATTTAGCACCAGCTTGATGTGGTGAGATGGTGTTCCACCCTCCCCACTCTGTGCACCAGGTGTTAATCAGAGCGCACCACTGATTGATGGGCATGGCATATGCCTTTAAATTTGTACAGGTGGCTGCTACAAGGTGCGTCTTTGTTCTTCCTGCTGCACGTCAGCTGTTTGTGTGACTGCTATTCTTGAATTCTGCTCTTCTATAATCTGCTCACCATCAACCTTCACTTGAGGGACATCCTCAAATGGTGTCCCTATTGATTTTGTTGATTCCTATAAATATTTGGGTATCTTGGTCGACTTGCTTCTCTCTTTAAAGCTCCATGTGGAAAACTTGGTAAAGAAACTGAAAGTTAAACTGGGTTTCTTTTTCAGAAACAGATCCTGTTTAACTCTGAATGCTAGGAAACGCCTTCTATCTGTGACCTTCCTTCCCTCCATTGATTACGGTGACATTATTTATATAAACGCTCCTACAAGCACCCTGCAGATGTTGGATGCTGTCTATCATGGTGCACTAAGATTCATAACTGGCTGTGATTATCGTACCCACCACTGCACCCTGTATTCACTGGTTAACTGGACACCATTAACTTCACGCAGACTCTCTCACTGGTACATGTTCATCTTTAAACCACTTCTTGGTCTGCTGCCTTCATACATCTCCTCCTACATGTCTCTGCGTGAGTGCAGCTACAGCGTGCGCTCTCAGGACATTATTACCTGCAGTGTTCCCTCAATGAGGACTGAACTAGGCAAAAGGACCTTCTCCTACTCTGCTCCTGTTTCCTGGAATATCTTGCAAAAAGATCTGAAGCTCAACCTTGACCTCTCTAAGTGGCTTAAAGAATCTGTTTGACTCCTGGCAAGGACCAATGCAGACATGGTCCTGTTTTTAGTTTTCTACATTCGCCTTATAATCAAGATGTTTTTGTTACTTCTTTTTTTTGCCATCTTATTTGTAAAAAATAAAAATAAAAAAAACATCTGTATGCCTTTTTTATAATTTTCTACTGTTGGCGCTGTTGTCCATTGTTGTCAACATTCTTTGTTGAAATCAGGTCTCTCTTGTAAATCAGTCCTTCAGGCTCAATGGGATTTACCTGTCTAAATAATAGTTGGATGAATGAATGAACATTGCTGCTCCATTGGTGTTATTGGCTGCAGCTGGAGTCCTTTGCAGTCCACAGCTTCTGCCTGCTTTTGACGTGCTGCTGGTCCGCTCATTCCCCTGGAAGGCTACGCTCCTGCTCCTCAGTAAGCTGCCTGCCATTTAGATCTCTTATTATTGTCATTTAACTTGAATCCAGAACTAATATGCTTTGTTTTTTAAGGTACGTGATTGAGCTGTCCACTGCTGTGCTTAAATGTTCGAGTGTACAGGGACACTCAGCTGTTTTTGTCTTGTCCTGATTTGAGAACAACGTTCAGAGTTTGGACTGCTCCTCCACTGCATTTGTTACTGCCACTGTTTTTGCAGTCGGTTATTGGGCAGTGCACGTCTTCTCTGCCCCAGCTGTAATGGGGTGCAGGACTGGTTATTAACAGTTGTTCCACAATCTGTAGTCCGATTTATTGTATGTGGACTGACCAAAAATCTCTGCTTACCTCATGCTCCCTTTTGTATTCAGGGACTGAGTCGTAGGCCTGAAAGCTTTTTTTCTTTTTTTTAAAATAAATTATAACATTTTTTAATAGAAATCAGTCTGTCAATGTGCCTATGTCCATTTCTGAACCTGTGTTTTAAATTGTTGGGTAATGACATCCCCAACTGGTGTTTGAGTTTTATGCAAAACTATTTAAATCACCCTTCCCTATTGGTCACATTGAGACGGAATAAGTCTGAATGATGTCAAATGCAGACTGTAGAAGCTGGAAAACCTTTGCAAATGTGTTAGCTCGGCAACAGTGTTGACGGCATAGAGATGCAAGGATGCGTCAGGAATGTTTTGACCTACATTATTTATATAAATTGTAAAAAGAGTGGGACCTAAAACTGAGCCTTGTGGCACACCATTGGTGACCGCTGGGTAGCTAGATGAAATACCATATGTCAAACACATTGCCTCAGACCTGAGAGATAAATAATCAGCCAACAGTGTAATCTGATAAGCCAATATCTGAGAGCTTGTGGCATAAGATGTCATGATCTACCATATCAACGGCTTTAGACAGGTATAAGTAAAGTGCAGCACAGTAATCCTTAGTGTTCAAAGCTTCAACAACTTCATTAAAGGTTTTTAATGATGAAGCTTTGGATGCTGTCATTGTGCTGTTTTCTGAAGCCAGATTGGAGAGAAGATAAAATATTAAGAGTTTAAATACTTGACTTGAGTATTTATTCAGTTTTTTCTAAAACCTTGGCTAAAATAAAGAGTTTGGAGATTATTCGATAATTGTTCAAAATAGTGGGGTCTCTTCCCTTCAGTAATGGCAGCACAAACGCTGTTTGCCGAGCATCTGGAACAGTATTGTTGTATAGACAGATTAAAATGTATGACACCGGTTCTGCTATTTGTGCAGCTAGACTTAAGTAAGGAGGGATGTCATCAGGTCCTGCAGATTTTCTAGTATCCAGATCTTTTAACTGTTTGGTAACCTTACTGACAGAACAGTGAAAAAGAGTGGTTGACTGAGATTTGGCTTGTTGGTGGAGTAGGTGATTTACTATTAACTGTTTCAAACAAGGAACTGGAGGCAACAATGTTTGAAACAATTTAGCATCTCATGCTTATCTGACACAGGAGCAGAGTCGACAAATAATTGTGGTGGTAGGTCAGATGTGTTAGTGCTGCTATCAAGAGATTTAATTGTTTTCCAGAAGCTCTTTGGATCGTTTAGATTTTTGGTAGTCTGAGATGCATAGTTCTATGTCATATAAGCTTCGCCCTTTAAGGCCTTCGCTTTAGTGGGTTTATCCCGTTATGCAGAGCATAAGCACTGAAAAAATTAGTCCACGCCCACCTGCTGTGTGGGCCCCACCCGGTCCGTATAAATTACGTTAAGAGCGGGAAATCGGCTCCCATTTTTTCTTCAGCGAGCTAATATAGCACTGTCAGAAGAACAAAGAAGATAAGTTGTGTAAATGACCAACCTTGTGAAGGATGCTGGGCCCGGCAGTCGACCTCCGGTCGTCCGGTGAGCTCTCCTCCCCGAGGAGAAGATGACAGCAGTCTTATTCCAAGGTAAGCGCCGGGGAACATTTCCCAGTGACAGGTCACTACACGCTGGACAACGCCATCTTGTATTTTTTCCTCTTATCGCCGACCCTCGGGGCGAACCGGATGGTTCCTCCGGTGCAAGGCGTGCTCAGCTGCAGCCCCGCTGCTCATTCCCTCCTGGGGAGCGTAGTGTCGGTGGAGGGGGGCTGAGTGAATGCTCACCCCATCCCACCTCGTT